CAAGATTTCATGAGGTTCGCAGCACTTTTCAAATAACTTAATGCTTCTTGAGTTTATGTGTAAAAACTTGTCAAGATACAATGAGGACATGCCCTTGAAATAACTTGATTTATTAGGACCCTTCTATTGCATTTTCAATGAATCTGCATACAAATACACGGCAGTATCACTTGTCTGGAAAATATACAGACAGTTTATAAATATTATAGTAAAATATAAAAAATTTTCAGTATATTTTGCTGCATTAAATATAACAGAAATGGCTCTTTGAGTTTCCTTTTAAATATAAGGATAATACTTATACGAGGGCTGTCCCAGAAAAACGCGAACATTTTAAATTTCTTTTGTTTCACTAGGACAATAAAGTTTAAAATAAGCATATATCAGGATTATCATTTTGTGAATGATCCCTAAAGATTTCAGTGATATATCTCTAAAAATAAAATTTTACTCTCATGCTAACAAATCTATCAAAGTAGCTGTCGGCGCAACCCTGACGAGGTCAAAACGTACCTCGTACTGTTTACGAATTTGTTCTTGAAACTGTGCTTCTAAAATATTCATTTAAGCACACATTCGGCAATGTATTTAATTTTGTTTTAGTTACCAAGTTATGTATCTCAAATACTTATGTTATTAAAAGATTGGGGAGTTTATTCTTTAAATAGACAATTTCACAACCCCGATCATAAATCTACTTGAATGAATTATTTAAAAGCGGTCTTCACGTAGGCATATGACGTTCCGCTCTTGTCTTTTCAGTTCGTCTTTATTTAATTTTAGTGGTCTATTCTCTTCTAAAGGAAAACCATTCAGGTCAACCTCAAACCTTTCTACTACATATGAACCTGTTTCCCATCGTTATGTTTGTGTTTTTCATCGTTTAACATCTTTTTTCCTTTCATACAAGAGTAATATCCCGCTAAACATAGATAGTTTGGTGCTAACATTACCGCTTAACGTCACAATTGTTGACAATGCCTAATTCAAAGCTCTTTGGTGCATATCATCATATTTTGTCATTAATGATGTCAAATAAATGAATTTTTAACCAGAAGTTCACCAAATTATAGAATATTATTGGAAGTAAACTTTTTGACATTAAATTGTCGTGCGTCGACCACCGATATTTAGCATCATTTAAATGCTGTTTTATATGCATATGACTTCACAGGCATATAATATTTTGTCAGAATATCTAAAATATGATTTCCCTACAGCATGCCAAAAATTATTAGTTTTGGTCGCATAGTATTTGGAATATTAAAAAAAAAATCGCGTTTTTCTGGGACAACCCTCGTATTTAACCACATGGAGTTATTTTTCTTATCAGATTTTCAATAAACTTTACACAAATTTTGCTATAATAGTTATATAAAAATGATGTTGAACGTTCATGAAAGTAACAGAATTTAAATATATATAAAGGACTATGTTATGAATATTCATTTTTATTTTTAAAACACTAATCTAAATAGTTATTAACATTTATTTAAAATTTCTTTATTTCAGGTTGCCCGGTGTTGCGATGTCCTCTCTGTTGGAGAGGCTACATAATGGCGAAAGACAACAACAACTGTAGATCCTGTCAGTGTAAATGGGGACTTTGAGTATCCAGTCCGTTTTGTTGTCCTGTACATGGGGCTTGTTAAGCAAAACATATATATTTTCTTCTGTTGTTATATTGTCAATTTGTAGTTAAACAGGTTTGTAGATCATTATATATGTATTGCTTGTATATCAGCGGAGGAAAGAGAAATGTTAAAAGACGGTTTTAATATTTAAAACATTAAAATGAATGGTAAAACAATCGTGGATTTTTTTGTTTCTCAAGATTCTATTCAGTTCCTAGTTGACATGCAAATAGACTTCTCATTCAAGGGGAAACGCATGGAGAAATCTAATTTTTAAGATTTTGTCAATGATGTATCACGATAAAAAGAACTCGTTAAAATATGTTAAGAACCATAATTTTATAATCATCAAAGTTTATTTACATCTTAAGAAACAACTATCACTTTCAACAAATTATTAGTTAAAATCCTAAAATAATTTTTAATTGCTTATCACTTAGTCATGTGGAAGCATTCTCTGGTTGAGTAGATTCAAGTTTGTTCACATCAGGACCCCTGTGGGTAGGATAGGGCCACAAAGATTAACAATCTATTAAAATCTTCTTCTCTAGAACCACTGGACAAGGAAAAATGAAACACTTGTGGAATCATGACCCCGGGATAGGGTGGGGCCACAATGGGGTGTCAAAGTTTAACTTAGAAATACACAGGAAACATCTCAAGAACATCAGAGCCATGATTGGTCATAGTTATAAAGAAGCATCCTCTGGTAGTGTAGATTCTGGTTTGTTCAAATCATAACCCCCGGGGGTAGGGTGGAGCCACAATGGTGTATTAAAGTTTAACATAGGAATACATAGAAAATTATCTTTAAAATCTTCTGAATAACAGCAAAATTATGATTTGTCATAGTTAAAAGAAGCATCCTTTGGAAGTTTGTTCAAATCAAGACCCCTGAGGCACGGGTTGGGCCGTAATGGGTGATCAAGGCTTTAAGTAGGATTACATAGAAAAACTATTTGAAATTCTTTTTCTCAAGAACAACAAAGCTGTGATTGGTCATATTTATATGGAAGTATTCTCGGGTAGTCTAGATTCAAAATTGTTCAAATAATGACCCCCTGGGGTTTGAGTGGGGCCACAATGGGTGATCAAGTTTTCACGTAGGAATACATAGGAAAAGTTGTTTAAATTCTTATTAATATTCAATGTAAAAGCATAAAAAAGTAATGTAAATTTAAATTTGTTCAAATCATGACCAACAAGGAGAATAAAGGAGACATTAAAGTGGATCATAATTATACAAAGGAATTTAAAGGCTATATCAATAAAAAATATCTTATAAACAGCAAAGCCATTATTTTTCATCTCAATTCAAAAGCATCCTTATGAACTGTAGATTTAAGATGCATCATGAATACATTAAACATGCATAAATTTATAAAATCTGTTACTTTTTTACTATTAATAGTCATGTTGAGTGATTGCTTTTATGAAATTGTATATCAAAATAAGTTTAGATCCATCTGTTGAGTAATCACAAACTGCGTATATATTATATAACAAATTGTGATGCACTTAAACACAATTTATTTAGTTTTGCTAATTTAATTACGATTCTCTGCAAGACCTCTCGACTCCCTATCCTGTTTCTAAATATAATACATCTCTTAAAGCTATAATTGGTAATTCTATCATTATTCCCGCTGCATAAAGCTTCACTTTTTCTAATTGTAGGGAAAATCTTTCGAAACTTATATAAATCAATATATAAGCAGTGGTGTAATAGAAGTAAAGTTATGTACATTTTAGATAGTGTGTTTCTACCAATATTGTCTTTCAGCGTTATAATTGCTGAAGCTTCCTCTCTTTTTTGTAGTGAATATCATAGAGAATAATTTTTTGTTCTTTTTAGTTAGGATTAATCCATATGTATGGTTCTTGATTTCAGTTGCTTCCTAGCATACTTAAAAAAATTGTTGATAAACTTTCAACGGGAGGAAAGATAACCAGGAATTATATCCCATAACTTTTATGGTTTACCTTCAGGGGGCGGATCCAGCAATTTTTGAAAGGGGGGGTTCCAGGGTTATGTCCCTCTAATACACCCCCCCCCCCCTACACACTCTCGAGCAAGGATTCATACACATATGTATTGAAACATCTAATGTTGTGGTAAACAATATCTTTGTTTACATCCTTTTTTTCTTTAAAGAGGTACCCCAAGTCCGAGTAAAAAAAAAATAAAAAAAATTAAAAAAAAAAAAACTCATATTTCAAAGACTACTGAACCCTTGTAAAATTGAATGGAAATGCAGCATTTCCGAATTAAAGTAAGGTGATTTTTTTTTCTTTTAGAATTAGAAAAAAAACTTTTGGGGGGTAAGATGCTAATGGGGTTTAAAACAAAAAGTTGCATGTTAGTTCCTTCAAAAGATACAAAAAAAAAAAAAAAAAAAGAATACACATATATAACCAACACAGCTAAAGATCGCGGGAATCTCATATCAAATTAAACGTACCTCGCATGTTACATATCATATATAAGATACATAAAAATAAGTAGAATATTTTCTACCATTCGCTCATAAAAAAGTAATAATGAATGTGAATGGAGGAAACTAAATGTGTTGGAATCTATCTATTCAATACATAAGTTAGACGTACAAATATTTTTTTTCTCAGATAACGCTCTCTCTCTCTCTCTCTCTCTCTCTCTCTCTCTCTCTCTCTCTCTCTCTCTCTCCACTTGGCAAAAATGAAGGGGGGGTTCCAACCCCCGGACCCCACCCCCCCCCATCTGGATCCGCCAATGTACCTTTGATTGTTACTTGATTCCAAAATCTTACAAGTAATATACTTTTAAGAAATTTCTCAAAAAATAGGGAAAATTATATTAAAGTTGTTCAACTAAAGTATGTCAAGTATTAATTAGTCTTTAATTCATTCAATGACCAATAACAAATCGTATTTCCATGTTTTCTTTATTGGTTTCTATACATGATGTATATGGTGACAGTCTGCTTTTTCTTTTCTGCACGATTACTTTTAATTCGTAAGTATATTCTTAGCATTCGTGAACGTATTTTACAAAATATACTCAAGAGTATTTCTATTATTACCAGAATTAGAAAAAATAATCTGAGATAAACGATTTAAGTCGCTAAATGATTTCCTAGAACAGTAAAAGGTATTTAATTTAAAATGGGTGTGTTTTATTTTGACCGATGCTAGGATGAACTAAGCTGTCCTTAGTTATGATATACTGTAAATCACGTTTAAATCCCGAGAACTTAATTTTCACGTAATTACGCGAGACAATGAGTTCGCAAAAATTTCATTCTCGCGTTTAAAAGTATTCCTTACTATTATATAGAGGAAAATCAACAATTCGTGTAAATTATGTCTCGCTAGTAAAGAGTCAATGACTATCTCGCGCAAATAAGATGTCGTGAAAATTTAGTGATCTGCAGTAGTCCATAAATGTCCCGATATCCATACTTAGTTTATGATTACTCAACAGATGGAAACTTATTTTGATATAACGTCACAATTTCATAAAAACAATCATTCAACATTACTATCGATAGTAAAAAGGTCACCGATCTTATAAATTTATGCATCTTTAAAGCTGAAAAACGATTGGTTTGTATACATATATTTTTTGAATTGTTCTTTATAAAATAATAGTGAACCTATTTGTTTCATGCTGCGAACCTGTTTTTGATTCAGAAGATGATTTAGGTAACTGCTCTGTTGTAGAGATACAGCCTATTGTTGGTAGACATGTTACATTATCACAATGACAAGTATTCCAACATTTCTTCCCGTAGAGGGGGTAGGGACAGGTAAAACTGCAGTTATCTCCCGTGTACCCGACGCCGCATTCTGTAAAATGAAGTATATAGATAATAAAAAGTAACCATATTCAAATCCCATTACAACTAAATAATTTCTTGTATGAAGCAGAACATTCATTTGCGTTCCATACATAAAATCTTCATTTTTAACAGACGTTTTTACCCACCCCCCTTAATTTCTATACACACTCAAATTCGCGATTTACAAACGTAAGATATGATTTATAATGCAGCAGATAAATTGTAAGTATTCAAAATAATCTTCTTTGTTTCAACGTGGAAGGGATTCGTATATAGCAAAACAAAATCCAAATTCAAATGACAAATTACAAAAATCAGAGACAAATTAGCAAAACAAAGATACATAACATGTACCTTATTTAGTGAAAAAGAATGTTTACACCCGTGCGCCTAATCCCCAAATACACGAAGAAAAAAAAATAATTTTTATGTTTAAATCTGTAAAAGTCTTTTGAATAAAGAAGCAGAAAAATTATGAAAAGATATTGTAAAATTGATCAAAACAAATGTAGAATAAAAGCAATCATAGGAAATCTCTCAAACATATACATTTTAAAGAAATTGTATTTATGATTTAGAATTTAAATATCGTAGTAATATCCAGTGCCTGCACATCCTCAAATTTGTGATAAGGTCTTATTTTTATGTAATCTTGGAGTAGTTTTTTTCATTGCAACCCCAAACCCTCTTGAACAAAAGATGATATTGTTTCTCTCACCTTGACAGACTCGGTCTCTCTCATTCCAGATATAACCCGAACAGCATCCCATGTATCCCCTGTACAGAAATTTAGTCATATATGTAAGTTGCAATCTCATTAAATGTTACAATTTTCAACAAGCGATGAAAAGTTCATCGTCTCAAACCACGACCAAAATGTACGATCCTCTCCTATTATGAGAGAGCTATATATGCGGACTCCGGACCGTGGCTTGAGACGATGTGAAAAGTGAGAGACATCAATTACTAAGATTGATAGACTGCTGATTTTCGTCCTGTTCGAGAATTTTTCCTGCATATACAGACATCTCCAAACACCGATGAACTGCTTCAAATTACTTTTGCGCGGCACCAAAGGTCATTGAGCAATGTACGTATTCTGTATTTTTGTCCAGTGATTTAAGGTTCATAAACCCTCTGCTCACTCATATAAAATTTTTCTTTAACTTTTATGATTTTCCAAAGGAAATGTATATGCTGAATAAAATACCAACATTTATAGCATTTGACAAAAAATGCACTTCAACTTGACAAATTTGTAAGGGAATAATATACATTTGTGTCAATTAGAGTTATCTCTCTTATCAGAGTATCAATGTACCTTAACGTAAAAAAAGGGTTTTGGTTATATTGCATAAATTACAGATAATGTATACAATACCTTTCACACATTGGGACACATTCCGAAATCCGGATGCTAAAACCAATCACAAACATTCATTACATTGCTCATCATTTTTAAAAAGTAATTATTTTGATGATAACATGTATGTTAGTCTGATAGAAATCACTGCCAAATAGACACTTCTCAATAAGCAATGCTTAAACTCAATTTGTTTCCTTCCTTATTCCGCTTTTAATGAAGTTTTCACGTTTATTTTGTCGATATTTCAATTTGGTTCTAAAGATATACTAAAACAGGTTTAAATGAATTTATCTGTAAAAATTTGCACGATTGTGTGTGAAATATTAAAGAGGTGTTTAACATTGAAACAGGGAGAGTATATTTATATATATTGTACAAGAAGAATAAGTTGGTTTGATCTTTTACAACTTTCCTAACTTTGTATCACTATATTTTACTTTTGATTCGGGCGATCACGTGACGGTGTGATTGATTTGATTTTCTAGATCTCCACACTGCGTTTTTTTTAAAATTCATCTCACAACTCTCTGTAATTGATGCTATACCCTGGTAGTAGACGGTATTGTTTTACGTGTCACAAAGTTCCTTAAAAATGTTGCATTTAATGGATATAAGGCATAAAAGTTTTTAAATATCTCTTTTAATTGTAGAAGTGGTATATAATGAAATGATAATTATAACAGTAACTTGATCTTAAGATCTGCATCAAGTTGAAAGGCGAGGATCATCAGATCAAAACGAAATTCGATCCGGCTCGAAGTTACTGATAAAGTTACTGTTATAATGAAAACTATTATGTACACGTTTACAACTAGCAAAATATATTTAAAGAAAACTTTTTAGATCCATTTTATAACTTTCATCTATTAAAAAAAAATCAACAAAGAAACTTTTTGAAGCGCAAGATTAAAACAAAAACGTAATGAATATGTGTTAACGTCATCAACTTCACACAGGGGTGATATGGATTCAGTAATCGACAGTTGGATTACACCGTCAAGTGATTTCACAAAATCAACGGCAAAATTAATAGATACAAGTTTTGGTTTATAATATACATTTATTATATACCAAAGAGTCTGTTGTTAAAGTATCTTTGTAAAACGAGGTAAGTTACTGACAAACAAGTTGGTGAAAGAAGTATATCAACAGTCTCCTTTAAAGCCATCATTTTGTAAGTTCTATAGTCCATACAATGACTTTTCAGCAAATACAATCTATCATTTAATCAAATGGTGACTGACGTTTTTCATACTAATTGTCAGGCCCTTTATTACACACTGAATTGTCGATTTTTTATTTCCCGCTCATAACAAGGAGCAAGAAAACAGTCGGTAGGGAATGTTCACTCCTCCATGGCACCTGATTCCACAGTAAATGATTTAGAGGTCCGTCTTTGTACTGTTCCAAAATATGTATTTAATGGAATTTTTAAGCTGAATACTGTTCCTTATCTCCGTACATTTCATCACATGTTTTCTAAAGCCACATGTACAGATGTTAAATTTTATTCATCAAGGGGAGGGGATGTCACAATTAAAAAATTATTGACAAATCTCAAACTGAACTCCAAAAGCATATTACACAAACGACTTTAGTATTATTTGGATATTTTTTCATTCTCTGATGTCTTCTGCTGATTTTGTCTCTTCCTGAAGATACAAACCCCGAACCCGATCAACCTTATTAATAGCAGGCTACCTATTGTTCCTCCTGCTATTATTCCGATCGTGTCCTCAGCTGAAAAATAATAATGATTTTTAAATAGCACATATATAAGTAGTCATGCATTCTGCATTTCGAAAAAATAATTCCATGCAGTGTTCTAGATATATTGCAAATTAATCAAAATATGTTTATAAGCTCACATTTGAAAATAGCATCCCGTGGTATCAGCTTAAGTTTAAATCGAGACCTTTCTTTGTTAGGCTTATGAGTTTGTAATTCAACGTAGAAGGTTGAGTTTCTCCTCATTTGAATGAAATATTTTTCTTCTGCAAGTCTACTACAGTTATAAGCCTGGAAGCACAAAAATTCATAGGGTTACATTAATTTTGAACAATTTATCAATATACGAGAGATTGGGGGTCATATCACATGTTTTATATTATTCATTTTACAAACAAATCTCCGATAGCATCAGTAATATGGAAAACATTAATATCTCTTTCCATACTACTCAAGCAATCTTATGGATATTTGAAGCCTTTTCATATAATAAATCCTTTTTTTATTTTGCTGACTAAAATTTTCTGAATTTTCAAAGAATTAGGTAAATTCAATATCATAAATAGTGTTTATGCATACTGACTGATGTCATATATGATTTGTGTTTGTTTTAACTATTTAAAATAAAAAGACATGCAATGTGCCACCCATTGGCTTCTTTTCAGCTTGGTTTGGTAGCTACATTGACCTTGTAAGCAAATACAATTTATCATTGAGACAAATTCTGACTGACATTTTTAATACTTGTTGTTAGTCCATTATTTATACACTGACCTGAATTGACGACGGATTTTTCCGTTATTTCCCGATAATGACAAGGAGCACACGGAGGGTGTGACCGGTCAAGAGGGGATGCTCACTCCTCCATGGCACCTGATCCCACCTCTGATGTTTCGGAGGTCTGTGTTGTCTCTGCTCCGATATTGTATTGTTTTATGGATTTTGATATTGAATACTGTTGTTTATCTCCATATCTTTCTCATATTAAACAGAATCAACAAAGCATTTTATAATTTACAAGCCTGTGTCTTACAGCCAATGTTTCAGCGTCTCTCAGTGCCCTGTACACCAAGGAAATAGAACAGTCGGGATCTTCATAATACAGGGAATTAATCATCAGTTCAAAGGTCAAGAGGTCGGGGTCAGAAAGTGCTCAAAATGCAATCTGGTTGCATCTTATGTCCCTTCCATGATAGGAGAGTAGAATGACCTCTGCATTCAGAGGGTTTAAGACGTGTGGCGTATCTGTACATGCATGAGTCTCAAAAGAATCTGTTAAAAATAAAAATTCTGAATTTATATAGTGTGTTAAGGATACATATCATAATTTTCTCGTCATCTAAATTTATTTCACTTTTGGATAAACCTTTTCCCTCTCTCATGGACATGTGATTCATTTTGTATTTAATTTAATTTTCATCTTGACTGTCTTAATTTTTTAATAACTTTTACTAAAACTTGATCTTTTTTCATAATAAATATTAAAATGATTGTAAAGACACTCTAAAAAGATTCATGTTCATGTTCAAGACAGAGAGAAGAAAAGATTAAGAGAACATTACATTCAAACACCTGGTAACCATGACAACCAGAGCCAGTGGTTACAATCAAGAAGAACACGAGGAGAGCTATCTTTCTGATGTCTGAAAGTATAAAAAATCATCAGAGAATACAATATAACCAAATACTTAATCTCTGATAAATGTTGAAGATTTCAGCTTTCTTATGATCAAACATAAGATTAAACAAAAGAAGATGGACCTACCAGTCTTCAGAGATTCCATCACCATCAATATGGTAGAAGAAGGAAATTTCCTTTAGGATACAAATTACACAACTGCAATGTCAATGAAATGAGAGAGAGAGTAATTTCAAAATTACAAAAGTCATACCTGTTTTCATTTAATGGCTATTTTAAATGAAAGAATACTGCTACGTTTTATGTTGAACGACGATATTGAAAAAATGCTGTGCCAGATATCACCTTAAAATGCTCATATCTTTAATATGCTCAATAAGACAAAAATTGACCATTTGCTAGTGATTTTACAAAATATTGATTTCAGAGAAATATACAGAGAAAAAATAAAATTTTGGCAAACACAATTTAACATATGGTCATCATGGATTTTTTGAGCTATAAATATTTATCAAAACACCAACAATAATTGCTTTTTCAAATGGAATACTTGTATCTCATTGATTATAATTTTCATTCGTGTTGTTTCTGTTTGAAATAGATTTTTAACAAAAAAAACTTAATGTTAAAGCGAGATAAAATGTAGAGAAATAACAGTTTACATAGTTATATCTTAATTGTGCGCCCAGATATTCATAATTTATAATCTTAGCTAAATATTTTACTTTTTTTATTCTATGTTTACTATTTGGATTTAATTATTTCAAAAGCATAGAACTGTAATTTATTTGAAATTGTACTTACGTATTACACATCAAAAAGTTTGAAACACACCTGTTGATAAAGAATTAGTACTAAAATAACCTTTTCCATTATATTCATAAACTATATTTTATACGGAGTGATTGATTGATTGATTGAGTGATTGTTTAACGTCCCCTATCGAGAATTTTTCACTCATATGGAGACACCACCACTTGCCGGTAAAGAGCTGCAAATTATGTCCTATACTCGGCACTCGGGGCCATTGATCATGGAGAAATCTTTTTTTGTGCCAGAACCTATTGCGACACGGGTCCTAGGTTTATACTGTCTCATCCAAAGGACCGATCTCCACGTCTCACAGTGGGATTCGAAGTAAAGATCAACTCCTTACTTCGCAACTCTAGAGCAGATGCTGTTACCACTGCGCCACGCGGGCGACGGGAAGCTAGGAGTTGCAATCGTTAACAGAAACAAAAGCTGTCTGTTTACAATGTAGCAGGATACTCCTTTACTGTACAGAATTTTAAATTGTGTTACATTTATCATTAGTTGCAATGAAATATACAAAGATAACGTACAGTATTCAAGCTAAAAAGTCAATTCAATTATTCAAAACAGGAGCAGAGCAAACACGGACTTCCAAAACATCACTGGTGGGATCAGGTGCCATGGAGGAGTCAGCATCCTCTGCCGACCGATCGCATCTGCCGTGTGCTCCTTTTCATGATTGGGAAATAACGGAAAATCCGTTGTCAATTTAGTCTGTAAATAATGGTCTGACAATGACAAATATCAATCAGCATTTGACTGAAAGTGAAAGACAAATGGAATTTGCCGACAATGTCGTTGTATCGACCATATAGAACTAGAGCATGATCATGCTAACCTAATCAACTGAGAGATATAAACTCCGTATATGCAAGTGATCAAAG